TCGGCAAGAAAGTAATAAATGCCCAGTATCAGGGACATTTATTGTCTTTCTCTTCCGAGCCTTACTGCATTAAATGTCGTCTCATCAAGGGAATGACTTAATTAAATGCTTGCTTTCCCAAGTTATGTGTCAGCAAGGACATCCGGTCTTTTTGTCTCTGATGTGACACAATATGCCACGTGCCCCTTCCCCATTGGCTGCGTCTTCTGCCTTCCTGTGTCTTCTGACACCAATTGTGTAAGACGAGGTCATGATAACTAACCTAGCCTAGCCTAGGCTAGTGACCTGTACATCAATAGCCTCTGCAGGAGTAGAGAATGTCATCCTGGATGGCACACCTCAGAACCGAGGGGGAGGTACATCTCAGAGCCGAGAGGGAGGTACATATAGGGACCGATGTACCATATCCCCAACCGAGGGATACGTGTCGGTACGTAAACGTACTGGATTCCATTGATCCCTACGACCAGTACCTCGGGGGAGAGGGACTTGTGAACCGATGGGTACGTGTCGTGATCACAGTAACAAGAAGTAGTGACACCGAGGACACGTGTCTTCATCCTGGAGTATTTTGGAAATGTCCCATCACGCATAATAAATAGTCTAAACTAATGTTTAATACTCAAAGCACATTAAATTGATTTTTTTTTCGTGGGTGTTGACACGAACACGACACGATTAACAATGACACGACACGTGGGTCATACGAACACGACACGTTTGACACCCCTACTTTTGACCCATCTATATTTAATCAATCTTTAAGTATCAAATATGATGTAAAAAAATAAAAATGTGTTACATTATTTTTAACTATTAGCGGACAAAATAAAACTTATAGTTAGAGTGTGTCTACCCTGGTGGCGGGGCGGTGACGGTGGTGGTAGTGAAGTGTTTTGTAGATAAAAGATTTTAAGAAATAGAATTTTTTTTTTATTTTTACTTACTTATTTAAGTGGTAAAACTGTTTTTACGCATTTGGAAGTAATTAAAATAAGTTGTTCTAAACACTACTTTATTTTATTTTATTTTTTTTAAAAAGTATTTGTGAGAAATCATAACTTATAAAAGTATTTTTGAAAAGTCACCTCAAACATATCTAAAAGTGTCTATTTTTTCTATTAAATTTGAAGAGTTAATATTAACCGTCGAATTAATTTTAAAATAAAATTAAAAATAATTTCAACTACGAAAAACAAAAATTATATTTTAAATAATTGAGACGACATAGAATTTACGATGAAAAAGTCTATCTGTGAGGGGGAAAAAACTTGTAACACAAAATACTGGAGACCTGTAGACAGTAGTCTTAACAAAATTATTTTTTTACGTAATGTTTAACAGTATCACAATGATACAACTGGTAGGCTGCTGTCAAAGAATTAATTTGTTAGAAATAAATTATATACAAGGTTAATTTTATTGGAGGTCTTAAAGTATAATATTTATCTTATTTTGATCTCTAATATTTTAATTATTTTATTTTAATCCTTGAAATATTAAATATATTTCTATGTGATCTTTCAAACCGGCAATGTCCAAATTGATAAAGATTTTTTATTATAAACTTATCTTGTGATTTCTAAATATGGAAAAAAAATAATTTATGTAGCCCTTGAACAAAGTAGGTTAGGTCTTGACCAAAATTTGAATAGTTCATGATCGAAACTGTGTAATTTTGAATAGTCAGGGGTGGTTTGATATGTTTTGAGGTCTAAAGCTATAAATTTAATTGAGACTTTTTTTTATAAAAAAAATTAATAATATAGTAAATTATTTAATTTTTTTTTTCCAGATACATATTAATTGTTTAGTATTCGTATTGAAATTTTTCTAACATATCTTATTTTATTGATAGTATAACTAATTGACTTAATTTTTAAATTAAATAAAAAATTTTAAAACTTTAAAATTCAAAGATTATTTTGATAATTTATGTTGTCTCGTCATTGACACTCTTATAAAATTATTTTTCTATGAATTAGACATTACTCATGGAATATATGTTTGACTAAATTTTTAAGATTATGATAAAAAAGACAATATTATATGGACCTTATTTAGTGATTGTATTTGATAATCTTATCATTTTCTGTCATTAGATTGACAATGGATCCTACTATTTTTTGGAACTCATTATCAGTTCCACAACTATAATCCATCATGTTACCAGATATGATCACTAAATTAGGTACAAAATATATTTTCTTTTTTGTTTCTTGTACTATGTTATCGTGTGAGATTAATGGGTTACATTTTTCGGCCCAAAATCAGTATAGAGTTTTTTGGTTGCTTGAGGCCTTCATATGGGACTTTCTTATACGACTAATTTTAATGGGTTAAGATTGACTTGGGCTATATTTATAAATTTTTTAAATTTTGGGGCCCTCTTTATTAATGAAGCCTAAAACCATCGCTTCTTTTCCTTCTGGGCCGGCCTTGTTCCTAGTTCATACTTTTCGATTTCATACACCATTAGTTTTCATTTTCATTCACTCGTTATTCGGTGATGTGATGTGATGAAATCGAGTTCAAATAGTTTAGTTTTACATGTGTTATATTTTCATTAAATTAAAAAATAAACATAATATTGAAAACGAATATTTCATAGCATAATTGGGAGAAAATATTTACACTGTTAGACATGTGAAAGTGTGATATTTCATAGTTCTGCCAGCTGGTGCATGAAAAGCATAGAATATTTTCCCCATGATTGGACCCCAAACTGAAACATCTTCACCTTCAGAATTCTAAGGTTTGAGTGCAGTCTGGTATACATCTGTGTCAGCCTCGAAGGAGTTCTGCACAAAAAGGACAAACTAGACCGACACCCCTTATGATCTGTCTAATTCACAATATGTACCCACGATACTGTGTCCCTTCTTGTTTGTTATATATCGAATTCAAAAGATTCCTCAACTTTTTTTGATGCATATAACCTACCCAGAAGTTTCCCACAGAGGGCTATCAAACCCAATCATAATTGTCATCTCTGCTCTTCCGCTATCACTCATATTTTTCACGATCAAAGAAGATCAGCCAATTACCAGCCAACCATTTGGACCGATGACTTCGTAAAGTCCTTGAAGAGCGAAGATATGGTAATTCTTGAAGACTTCACTTCGTCAATTCCACCTTTTTCACTTTTTTTGTGGAGTTTTTCTTTTATTTTTGTTTCTAATTAATGTTTTATAAAATAGGGTATTACTACTAATAAATAACATATATCACAATTGAAAGTATTAAGGTGGCCTAATGCACGAGGCTTCTGCCGTTACAAGATAGGAGTTAGATGTAAGCAATTTTATCCTGCATGCCAAAAGACTGTTTTCATTGCTCAAACTCTTGACACTCAAATAACAAATAAAAACTTCTAGAAACAAAAAGACTTGATAGGTATCAGTTATAACATTACTTTGTAGGCTTTTTCTGTAAAATGATTTGAGAAAACATAGACCAAATTTCTAAAAACATCATTCCTAGCATGTTTTTAGAAATTGTTTTTTTTTTTTTGGAAAAGACACAGCATCTTGCAGGAGCACAAATGCCCTTTTTCTGGGACAGGTGGGCACCAGGTCTTAAAAGGCACCTTGTCGTCGTGCAAAATGTATATTCAGTACTCATTTTCCCTACCATTCGATGTGGGAATGCATTTTCATTTAGTACAGATTTTATTTCGTAAAAGTAGATTTTCATTCACAACGATGTAAACTTATATATATACTAGTTATTGTCTGTACTTAAAGGTACATAATAGTAAAAATAATTATCAATCATAAATATATTTATATTCTCACCCAAAATTAAATTACAAACAAAAATGAGAGATAAAAAAATTTAAATACCGATTGTAGTGGTGGTGGAAAATTGTAATGATTATGGTAGGCGACGATGACCGTGGTGATGGTGGCAGCCGTGAGTGGTAACAGTGGAGGTGGTGGTGGTGGTTTTTGGGTGACAATAGTGATAGTGGCAACCATGAATAACGGCATTGGGTGGTGGGGGGAGACGGTGGTGATATTGGTGGTGGTGGTGATGGGGGGACGAGGTGGTGGTGGGTGTGAGTGGTAGTGGGTGACGACGGTTGCTTATGGGTGAACGGTGGTTGTGGATGGTGACAAATGATAGTAATGATGGTAGGTGTGATGGAAGTGAATGATAATTAGCAGAGACAGTGGTGGGCAATGACGTATAATGATGGTTGATAGTGGTAGGTTTGGAGGTGGTTGACAGTAGGTGGTGGCAGTGGTGGGCGACGACGGGTGGTAGTTGGTGGCGATGGGTGGTGTTGGGCAATGATGGTGGTGGCGGCGGTGGACGATGGTGGTGATACTGATAATAAATATAAGAATGAGATGATAATGATATTATAGTGGTAACAATCGATGTGCGTGACGATGGTAATGGTAGTGATGTGTAGTGGCGATGGTGGTGGTTGTAGCAGAGGTGGTGCTGGAGTGGCGACAACGATAGTGGTGGTGGTAGTAGTGGTCGTGGTGCGGTTGTGGGGGTAATGGTGGTAGTGCAGTGGTGGTAGTAGCAATGGTGGTGGTGAAGTATTTTGTACATAAATAATTTTAAAGAATTAGAAGTTATTTGTTTTTTATTTTTACTTATTTGAGAAATAATTAAAATAAGTTGTTCCAAACACTGTTTTTTATTTTTTAAAATGCATATGAGAAGTCATAAGTTTTAAAAATATTTTTTTAAAAGTCACTTTAAATACACCCATAGGAGGACTATTTTTCCTATTAAATTTTTGAAAGTTAATATTAACTGTCGGATTAACTTTAAAATAAAATTAAAACGATCTCAACCACAAAAAATTAAAATCATTTTTACCGAACGTAAAAATGATGTACTTTATTGTATATATTTTTGTTCAACAATCCCATGTTAATACCATCATTTTGTGTGTGTGTGTGTGTGTGCATTTGGAATTTATACGGGATGAATTACACAAGGAAAGGTCAAAGGAACTGGAGGATGAGGTGAAGATTATGATTGGTGATGAGGGTGTGAGACCATTGACATTGCTCCAATTGATAGACGACGTAGAACGATTAGGCTTGGGCTACCGATTTGACAAAGATATAACTGTAGCACTCAATAGAATAATTGCAATGGACGAGAGTAACGTGGGAGCGGAGAAGAACATTCATGTTACTGCTCTCAAATTCAGGCTCCTCAGACAACACGATTATGACATCTCTCAAGGTACTTATCCTACTTTTCTCTAGAAATTTAATAATTCCATTTCTTTTATTTCGTAACAATTTAGGATTCTCAATCCGACCTTGTAAGAATTTAGTCTCTCCCACCGATTCAAGGTAGAATCTTGATTTTTAAAGTAGTGGTGGTGTTATAACCAATATATCCTTAAATTCACATACCTACACATACATGTGGCAACGAAAGTGGTAGTGGTGAAATGGCAATACGGACGACAGTATTTACTATTGATGAGGAGTACCATTGTGATGGGTGGTGGTGGGTGATGGTGGTAGTGGCAATAAGTGGTGACGGTGATTAGAGGAGGTGGTGGTGGTGGGACTGCCAGTGGTGGTAAATGGTAGTGGGCGTGTTGGCTGGTTGTGGTGGGAGGAGCAAGTGGTTTGGTGGCACAAGTGATGGTGGTGGTGGTGTTGGCAACTGTAATAGTGGTGATGGCGGTGACGGTGATGGCGATGATGATAATTAAGTGAATATGAGAGTTTTTTTTTTCTTTTTCATTTTTTGTTCTTAAAACTTATTTAAGTAGTAAAAGTACTTAACTTGCCATAAAAATTAAAATATCTACTAATAATAATTTTTTTTGTTCAAAATATTTATGAGAAGTTAGTTGTAAGTGTTTTTTTTACAGCAATGTTACACTGACCAAATTTAAAACCCAAATAATATGGCAGCTGACTTGGGCTTCTTTATTTAGTGTCATGTCATTTGAACCCCAATAAAGACTCCAACTAATATGTTATGTCATTTGAACTCTAAATTTAGACTTAAAATTTAGTCAGCATAGCATTACTGTTTTTTTATTATTTGAAAGTTGTAAGTCTTAGAAAAAAAAAATTTAAGGTAATGACAAACGTCATATCAAAACCGCCATATGTATATAAAATATGTTTGTTGTATATGAATATTAGAATTCTCATTGTATGACTCGATACTTTTTGTGCAAGACAGATATCTTTCAGAGTTACAAGGATCACTACGATGATTTTGTAGAAGACTAGCAAAATGATGTCAAGGGATTGCTAAATTTGTACGAAGCTTCATTTCTCTCCTTCGTGGAAGAGAATGTCTTGGAAGAGCTCAAATCTTTTGCAATGATTCAACTTGAGGACATCAAGGGACACATAGACAAAAGCCTCGTGGAAAAGATAAATCATGCATTGGAGCTTCCGTTGCACCATAGGATGTGTAGGTTAGAAGCTCGGTGGTACATCGATGTCTATAGTAAGAATAAAGAAGCAAATCAATCGTTGCTCGAACTTGCTGTTTTAGATTTCAACATGGTACAATCTACTTTACAAAGTGATCTTAAAACAGTGGCGAGGTAAGACTAATGGTTGATGTAAAACACCTTCGAGCCATCGAATGACTTAAATAGTTCATTTTAGACAATCCTATCATTGTGACTATATGATGCAACATGATAAGAAGGAATATTCACATCACACTAAACATTCATAGTCCTTCGATGAACTCCAGATTGCAATTTTTGTGAAATAATCGACCTTTAAAATTTTTATCAAGTGGTGAAAAGGTATAGGTCTTGCTAGCGAGTTGAACTTTATAAGAAATAGGTTAATAGAATGCTTCTTCGGGACAGTGGGAAAGATTTATGAACTGAGATTTAGTAATTGTCGAATAGGTTTAACACAAATTATTGCACTAATAACTACAATTGACGATGTTTATGATGTTTATGGATCGTTAGATGAACTTCAGCTATTCACTGATGCTGTTAAGAGGTTTGTATTTTCAAGGAATTGTTCAACCTTTAAATTTCTCTTACTCGTTTAATGATCCCTTCAATGCTTCTCCTTGTTTAATTGAAACGTTCACATCTTTCTGTCAGATGGGATGCCAATGCAGTGAAAAGTTTTTCATACTACATGAAGTTATGCTTCCTGGCTCTCTACAACACTGTCAATGAAATGGCTTACGACACTCTGAAAGATAAAGGCATAAACGTCATACCAATCCTATCTAAAGCAGTATGTTACCCCATATGGATGCTAACATGTAGTATAGTCTTGACTTAAAAATTTTAGATCAAATTACACTTTGGCCCCTCAACTATGCCCATGTCGTAAATCACCACCCCAATTATCATGTCTCTTACTCTGCACCTCTAACTATGATTGTAAATTTCACATTACCCCTCAAATATTATGTTTTTCACAATACACTTCCAATTATGGTTAATGGTTTCATATAAATCCAGTTATGAGCATTTAAAAACTTTAATTATCACATATTTGGATGTTTTCTATCCAAATATGGCAGACGTTGGGTTTGGAGGTAGTATAAAATTGATTCAAGTGGATGATAGCGCAATGTGAGACGGTCAATAGTTGATGGGGCAAAGTGAGATCACAAAAATAGTTAAGAGGATCAAAATTTAATTTATCAAAAGTTTTGGTCTATAAATTGATATTTATTTGTCTTGTATACTTGTTTTATTCAGTGGGCAGACTTATGCCAAGCATTTTTGCTGGAAGCAGAATGGAATTACAGAAAACACACGCCAACGCTTGAGGATTATCTTGAAAATGCATGGCGCTCAGTTTCTGGGAATGTTATTCTAATTCATGCCTACTTTCCAATGAATCAAAATGTCACAACACAGGCATTAGAGTATTTGGAGAAATACCATGATATTTTAAGGTGGTCATCCATGATTTTTCGACTTTGCAACGACTTAGGTACCTCAAGGGGTATGTACTTCACACTACATAATCAACCAAATGCAGTCCATGATTTGGGTTTCTTTTCAATATGGTACCAAAAGTTACGACTCGATCGTGCTGGATCAGGATTGAATCAATTGAGATTACAACACAGTAATGTCTTTTTGGGATCGATTCTTAAAATGTTAAGTGTATCCCAAGTTTTTGAATCATAATTTAACTTTGATCGAGTCATAACTGATCTTTTTGAGTCATAACTTAACCCTAACTTATTGGTGTGGCAATAAAATCAATGGTTGTTGTCTCCTATATTCTCTATTGTGCTAGAATAAAATTCAAAGCTGATGGTAATAAACTGATTTACCATCTTTATAACAAACATACTTAATCTTTGTGCATTACAGGATGAGTTACAGAGAGGTGAAACAGCAAATTCAATCCTGTGTTGTATGCATCAAAATGGACTTTCGGAAAAACTTGCCCGCGAACACATCAGCAATTTAATCACTGAAGCATGGAAGAAACTGAACAAAGGTCGAGTAGATGATTCTCCTTTCTCAAAACATTATCTTGAAACAGCAATGAACCTTGCTCGGATTTCCCAATTCACGTACCAATATGGAGATGGGCATGGAGCTCCTGATAGAAGATCATAAAATCGCGTCATGTCAACAATTATTGAACCCATAAGACTCATCGAATATGAAAAGCACTAGTGAATTTTGCTAAATAATGGTCTTTGAGAAGGGTGTGTTCCTCAATTCTTGAGTGTAGGAGTGTCTAGGATTCTTCAAACTGAGCACTTCACTGGTAACTTAATCCACATGCAAGTGACAAAATAGTTCGATAAGAGAAACTTCCCACATCCTCCACAGATGTAAGAGAGTCTTACTTCCTACACGTCTTAACACAATATAGTGATATAAAGTGTCAGTTAGACTTGCAGATAAACAACTGGATATATTCGGTGTACTCTTTTGAACTATGACTTTTGTTTTAAATTATTCCCTGAACTTTCAATTATTCCAATTTTCCCTTTGAACTATGTAATTTATTTTAATCGATCCTTTCCGTTAAGATTTACAAATAATTGTGACCAATTCTGTTAAGATTACATATTAGATGATAAATAGTTTGATAAGAAGCACTTCTTACATCCTCCAAAAAATATAAAAAGAGTCTTAGTTCCAACTTTGTTTAATTGCACAAAAACAATTGGAAATAGAAAGAGGGAGGAAGGGTAGTTTTCTGTTGGGAGACTGGAAGCCCATTAATCCAAGACATAATATATATGTCTGGAACTCATACCCACCTAAATGTTTAAGCCTATAAATAATGAGCCCATCAATTGTGTGTTAGGATACTTTAACTTATTTTTTTATCCGATATGAGATTTTCACACATACAATGCTCAACAATCTCTCCCTCATGTATAAACCACGTCGGACTTTGCTCCCCCAAGCACCACTTCCAACTAATCTTTAGAAGAGTTCGCTCATCCAAGAACCCAAGCTTTTATCAATCTTTTATGAGTTATCACATTACCACTCTGCCAAGAACCCATGCATCCATGGTCTCGTCATGCTCTTTTTCCAAGTTGTATTTCCATGACATCAATACCAATAATCCTTCACTTTTTCTTAAGAGTCATCATTGCTATTGGCATGCTACTTCGCTTATTTAAGAGTTCACCCATGATCAGAAGTCAACGCCTTTGATACCACTTGTTAGGAGACTAGGAGCCCATTAATCTAAGGCGAAATATACATGTTTGAAACTTATACCCACCTAAAAACTTAAGCTTATAAGTGGTGATCACATACGAAAGGAGGAGGAGGGAGGTAACTGGGTTATAGGTTGATCAGCGATGGATTGAGCCATGGCAGATGATTGTAATCACCACATCTTCCTTCATTACCAGCTTCACCAAGAATTATCTTAAAATCTAGAAACATTCTTAGAAAAATGTTAATCTCGCAGATACAAAAATAGATTATACTCATAAGCATCAATTCGCAAATAGATTGATAGAGAGAGAGAGAGTCCGATGTGTGTGTGAAAGAGAGGTAAGAACAGAGTGAGTACAATGTGTATGTGTGTGTGTGAAAGAGAAAGGTGAGAATGAGTGTGTGAACAACAATGTTGGCAATGGTGGACAAAGTCTTGAGACATAACCATACAATCTTGAAAGAAAGAGGCACTAATTGACCACTCTTCTTGCCCTCGCATTTCTTCATCCAAGGTCGGCCCATACACAAGGCCACTAAAGCACGGGCTTTAGGCCCCAACTAAATAAGAGATTTCAAATTTTTAGGTTTATATAACATAGTCTCTACCAAAAATTTAAACCTACAAAAACTGAGTCCACCAAAAAAATTCAATTCAAATTTCAACCAACAAAAAAATCTTAGTTAAATGATTTAGTCCAAAAGTCTAGGCAATGACAAACAAAATTAAATTTGGAAAAAAAATAAAAAGTAGTGTACATTAGACATCACTAGTCTCTATCTTCTCTCTTTCTCTCGCAAACACACACATAGGCGCGCGTTCTCCTTTTAGCTAAATTTTTTCCCTTGTGTAAAATTAAAGGGAAATCGGAAATTGGTATATAGATATAGATTTATTTGAGTAAAAGGGTACTAATGAAAACTTATTGGGCATAAGTGCATTTTGATGGAAAAAGACCAAAAACTCATTCTACAAGAGTAACTCTTGCAACAACAGGTTTTTGGAAAAAATTATATCACATTAATCCCCCCCCCTATTTTTTTTTCTCTCTCTCTCCCTCAAGTCGTTGCTGACTCTATCTCCCCTATTTTCTCTCTCTCTCCCTCCCTAACTCTCTCTCCCCCTATTTTTTCTCACCAGTACTCTCTCTCTCTTTCTCTTATCCATAATTTATTTTCTTTTCAAATATGAAAGATTTAATTTGATTATTTTTGTTTGAAATTATAAAAAAATTTATTTTTTTTGATACACCTTATTAGTGTATCTGTTTGATGTATCTCTTTGGTGTATCACTTTCTTATATCAATTTTGTACATCAATTAAGGGTATCATTTTAGTATTTCAGTTTTGGTATATTTGTTTGATGTATTTCTTTCGTATATCACTTTCTTGTAGCAATTTTGTGCATCAATTAGGTTTATTATTTTAGTGTTTCTCTTTGGATTTCACTTGTATCTCTTTGGTGCATCTATTAGGTGTATCTCTTTGGTGTATCCATGTGTTGTATCCCTTTGCAATCACTATGTGTAGTGAATAACCAGTTCAACTTGTACCTATTTGGTGTATCTCTGTGGAGAAAGTAACATTTAGAACAAAATCAAAAAGTTGTGTTTGGAGTCGTATCGTAATACTTTCAACTAGTTTGGAGCCGAATTAGAAAATCTACAACTGTAGAATACAGAAAATAGTTACGTTTGAAGGCAATGGTTGAAGAATATACTGTGAATTGATGTAAGAATAAATGTTCAAAATTCAAACGAGTGAAAAAATCAAATCAAATATTTAAATATTTTAAAAGAAAATAAATTATCAACGGGAGAGAGAGAGAGAGAATAAAAAATAGGGGAGGGAGTGAGAGGAATAGAGAAAGAGACAAAGAAAAAGAAAATAGGGGAGAGAATGATAGAGTAATGGAGACAAAAAAATAGGGAGAGAATAACGGTGAGAAAAAATAGGGAGAAAGACAGAGTAAAAGAATAAAAATAAATGTTCAAAATTTAAATGAATGATAAAATCAAATCAAATCTTTACATATTTAAAAAGAAGTAAATTGTCAATTAATGATGCATTATTTAAGAAAGATTAATTAAGTAATACATAAAAAAGGTAAACTGGATTGTATACCTAATAACTAGAAATTATTGTATAAGTGAACTTAATAGAGTAAAAATCTTATTAGTAAACTTTCTCTCAAATAAGCATTAAAAAATGCACCCACACCTAATTTTCTCAAATTTAAAACATAAATCAAACTATTCATTTTCATCATCTCTCCTTTTTAATCTCATTTTCTATTTTTTTATCTATTACGAGTGCATTACTTTTTTAAATAACTAAAGACATAAAATATTAATCTACGGAATCTACTCGACAGTGAGGAATTGTGAGATACACAGACATTTTGATCATTTGAATGGGAGAAGGCACAATAGGGCCAACCCTAAGACCTGACTATTAAAATAGTCTCCTAAACCCTAAAAAATTTAGGCCCCCAATTAATTTTTAGCCCTTACTTCAACTTTATATTCGGGGACCATTTTTGAATAAACTAAATTAAAGGCCCAATGTATTTTTGCAAGTCTACGTAAAATCTTATAGAAAACCCTAAAATATAACAATATTTTCTCAAATCTATATAAAAATTTATAGAAAACCCTAAAATATAACAAAACCTTCTAAAAAAAGCCTAAAATTAATGACTTCTAGAGTGTTATAAGTAGCACTCTTTCTCAAATTCCTTTCACACTTCTTTCCTCCACTTTCACCGCCTCTCCCAAATCTTTGTCTCCCTCTCACTCTAATTGTCTTGCTCTCTCTTTTGCCCTTATCTCTAACTTTTTTGCTCTCTAGACTCTAATCAATTTATTTATGTATAAGATTCCGACTTCATAATTGCACCCAATTGATTGTCTAATCATGTTCGATCCCAAAACCACTAAAACCTTGAAACTAAAACCACATTGAAATTCTTTGCAAAATATCTAATAATTATGAAATTTTTTTATTATCTTTCTAAAATAGTGATCGGGGCCTCATTTAAAATTCTTGTTTTAGGCCCCAATATGTAGTGGGCGGCCCTTTATCTTCACCATCCTTCATCTAAACCCCTCTCAACTAGAAACTCCATTTCACCACTGTCATCCACGTCCACCACCACCGTCTTCACCACCATAGTCAAGACCTTACCGCATCACCTACAACTACTAACCGTCGTCTACTAATTGTCGTTGGCAATATTGAAACCTTCGAGACTCAATTTCCTTGTATATATAGATAGCTTCGCCCACCTCTTTAGAATCCACTCATTGAGTTGTTTCTCTTGCAAGTAATTCCTCTTTTGCCCAAATTAGAACTATTGCACTTATTTCCATTAAACTTGTGTACTTAATTTATCTCAATTAAACTCCCAATCAAATATGCTTAAAAAAAATACACACACGCATAAACTCAATACAAACATGCATATTCTAATTCATATATACTCGTACGCACAAAAACAAGCAACTATACAAGATTACTTGACGCAACTAAGGTGAAAAAATTATTACTTTCTTCAACAAGTGCATGACAAATTCAAACTTTATTCATTCCCTTTCATCACATAGCGATATGAGAGCGAAACTATAGAAACCCTAGCTATTAGGGATGATTTAAACAATTAAAAGACAAGTTAGAAAAATAGAATTAGCTAAAATGATGAAATACTCCGTTTATCTAAATCTGTCAAATTGTGTAATTACCTAGGCAGCTTATGCCACCCATCTGATTAATTAAAAAGGTATTTTTAAAATTTTTACTATAGTCCTAAAGAACCTTTCTTGATACACAGAAATATATATAGAAAGTTGAGAACAGAGAATGCAAGAAAGATGAAGAGAGAGGAGGAGGAGCGAGATAGTTGTAGGTTGATCGGTGTTGCATTAGCCCTGGCAAATGATTGCAATCACCACATCTTACTCCATTACCAACTTCACCAAGAACTTTCTTGAGAAAATATGGAAACGTTCTTCGGAAAAATTTTAATCTCACAAATACAAAAATAGAATATACTCATATGAATCAATTCACAAATTGAGAAAATCTGTGTTAAAATCTGCAGAGAATGCAGATAGTTCAGCTGCAACC